TCCGCGTGCGCCACCTTCAGCGCGCCGTGCACCTCCTGCAGCTCCCGGTGCTGGCCCTCCGAGGCCCGCAGCCGCCCCTCCGAGGCCCGCAGCCGCTCCGCAAGCATCTCCTCTGCCGCATTGCGCTCACGCAGCGCAGCCGCCTTGGCGCTCAGCTCGACGCGGAGGGCGGCAGCCTCTTTGGCCGACGCCGCTGCGTGCGCCTCCACCTGATCCAGGCTGGCGGCCTGCAGGGCGGGCAGGAGGTGGCAACCTGGGTGGGACCAACCTGCTCACTTATCTCTGCCACCGTGTAGAGATGAACAGGCCAGCAAAGCGGTACCACACAGGGCTCCACCGCCCGACCAACAGCCAGCTCATTCCTGGGCTGCCGCCATCCCACCTGCTCCAGGCCAGCCCGCTTCAGCGCAGCAACGAGGTCATTCATGTCCCGCAGCTGGCACCTGAGCTTGTCCAGCGCCTCGTCGCGCCCCGCCAGCTGTCGCGCCAGCTCAGCACCTCGCTTGTCCCGCTCCGTCACTTGGGCCTGCAGGCCCTGCAGCCGCGACCGCAGGCTGGCCACCTGCGCCGCCTGCCGCTCGCACTGCTGGCCCAACGACTGGGCCGCGGCAGCCGCAGCGCCACGCTGTTCAGCCGCCGCCTGCTGTTCGGCGGCCAGCTCAGAGCGACGCATTGCCAGCTCGCCGCGCACGCCTGCAGCCATTTCCTCCAGTGCCGTGCAGTCTGCCTGCGGGAGCAGCATGCCAGCATGCCAATGGCCAGGTGAAAGCAGCTCGCCATGCTTGCAAAAGCCATCCTAGCGCGGGGCCCGGCACGCAGCCTGCCCCACCTTGGCCAAGTGCAGCTCATGCATCAAGCCCTGCCGCTCCCGCTCTCCATCCGCCAGCAGCTCCACCTGCTGGCGCACTTGGCCCTGCACGCACATCAAAGGGGCAGTTTCCCCTCACAACCCAATCCCCTTCATGGAGGCCCTACAACATCACCACCCCTGCCTGTAGCCCTGCCCACCTCCAGCTCAATGATGGCGCCCGCCTGCTCCTGCTGCGCCTGCTGCGCTTCCCAATCCCGCTGTGCCAGCGCTGCTTGAGCTGGTCCTGCCGCGCCTTGTGCTCGTGCTGGGCCATTGCCAGAAGAGTGGCCGCCCCTTCAACAATCTTCGGTGCCTCCAGCAGTACGGCAGCCGCCTGTGCCTTCTCGGCGCGCCTGCCCTCTTCCTCGCAGCACAGCTGTGCCTGCAGAGACTCCCCTACTGCCCTGGCCAACGCTTCCTCCAGCTGCTCAGCACGCTCCTCTGCCGCTGCCGCTGCCGCCTGTGCCTCGCTCTGCGCCGTCCGTGCCGCCTCAGCCTGGCCCTGCGCTGCTGACGCTCGGTCCCGCTCAGCTGCCGTCTGCGCACGTAGCGACCTCATGCACAGCTCCAGCTCCGCGACCCCGGCCTGGGAGCTGGCCAGCGCCGCCTGCAAGTCCTGCCTGTGGCCCTCTACTTGTGCCATGCACAGCTCAGTGCTGATCGCATAGCCACGCGTCTCCGCTTCCTGCGCCGACACCTGCACTCACGGCGGCAGTATGCGGCGGCCCAGCTCACAGGTGCATGGCAGGAAGGCAGCTAGCGGCCCACAGCCTCATCAGACCAGCACAAGGCTCCGCAGGCACCTGAACGAGCTGGCGGCGCAACTCGTGGACTTCTGCCGCAGCCGACACCGCCGCAGCATCAGTCGGACCAGCTGCCCAGGCGGCATTGCCGGCTTGCACTCGCTCCCTCTGCGGCAGCCAGGCGTGGCGCCAGCAGCAAAGCCCACAGTCAGCGTGCGGATGTGTCGTTGGGAGACCCGGCGCACAGTTCGGCAGCAGCAGAGCTGTGTGCTCGTGCAGATTGAAGTCATGCACGCCTCACATCGCGCGGTAAGCGCAGTCCTCGGGGTCGCCCCACTCCTCGTTGTACCAAAACATGACAGCAACCTGCAGCTGGTTGAAGGATGGAACGTCATGCGCATCGTGGCACGCCAGCAGCGCAGCAACAGTGCCCGCGGTTCCAGCTGCAGTCTTGACCTCAATGGCATCGTGCACACACGCATTCCTGATGCGTATCTCGGCATGCTCTGCTGATCCATAGTTGTTCGGCAGCTGCCCAAGCAGGCGGGGGGCCTGGCGGGCGCTCGGCGCCTGGCTGGATGTGCGCAGGTGGCGGCGCAGGGGGCCCAGGTGGCTCCACCGCCGCGAATCGCCAGCAGCTGATGAGTGGTCCTCAGCAGCATCGATGCCAGCAATCTGCGCCAAATGGGAGCCCTTCTTATGTCTGGCATGGCCATGCCGAAAGCGGCAGCAATCCAACCGCTTGCCCCGCCGGATCAGGGCGCGCGTGCTGGGGAGCTGTGCCATGCTCTCAGCTCATGAACAGAGCTCTTGCACGCGCTTGAGCTCACCGTGGCGGCCACAGCCGAGCTCCAGTGGGCGTGGGTAAGAGCCAAGGCCACGATGGCATCCAACAACAGACGCATGGTGGCTGGTAGGTCACGGAGGCTGCTCAAAGAGTGTTCGTGGGAGACAAGACCCTCTGCCACGACCTTTCCTTTCGTCATATCTCATCTGCAGCTGCCCTGTTTATTAACGTGCAACTATGTTTGATGATTACACGGCTGTGTCTTCAAATGAGCGGCGGGGGCAGGCAAAACCTGTAAAACCTGTCAGGAAGTTGGGTGGCCACCTCGACGCCACCTGGCGCAGCCGCCTAAATCTCCTCCTGGTGTACATCGGCCATGTGCTGCTGCTGCTGCTGCTGCTGCTGCTGCTGCTGCTGCTGGCGCTGCCCCGCCGGCGACAGCTGCGCCTCCAGCCTGCCGCGCAGCTGGTGCAGGCCCAGGCCGAGCACAGCGGGCGGCGCAGTGCCGGCTGTGGGTGCGGCATCATCAGAGTCGCTGCCGGCCAGGTCAACCACATCGGCGGCAGCTGCCGTGGGAGCCGCCGCCGCTGCTGTCGCCGCACTCTTCCTCCCGCCACCCCGCTTCTTGCCTGCTCCAGCCCTGGCTGGCGGCACGGCCCCGCTTTGATGCACCAGTGTAGCCGCCGCATCGGCCATGGCCCCCTCCCCCGCCTGCTGCTGCTGCTGCTGCGGGCCGTAGCTCTGCTGCAGGCGCACACGGGCCAGCACGGCGCGCAGCAGCATGCGCCATGCGGCGTCTGCCTCCGCCTCCGCCTGCAACCGCTTCCTCTCCTCCCGCTCCCTGCAGGCCCAGGCAGCACGCTTCAGCCGTGCCGCCCATCCCAGCCGTGCCATCCATTCATGCCGCTACCAGGCGGTGCGCAGCCACGCGGCTCAGCCAGGGGCATGCATGGGCCCAGCCACGCGGCCATCGGGTCGGGCAGGCAGCAGAGGCACGACAACCGGGCCACCCCCACCAACCTCTCCGCCTGCAGGTAGGCATCCACCACTCGCTGCTGGTCCTCCTCCCACACCACCACGCCCTCGACCTGCGGGAAGCGGTTGCGCGCAAAGCCGACCAGCGCCCGCGCATACTCCACGCCCAGTGCCTTGCAGGTGTTGACGACGTAGGGCATGTTGAGGTGCACCTGCGGCGCCGGCGGGCGGCGAAAAAGTTGCAGAGGGGGCAGCTCGACCCGGCCCAGCAGCCAGCAGGCAGGGCAGGGCAGGAGGGTGCTTCGCGCCGCGGCCCCTGCCACCCCACCCCCACCCCCGCCCGCTCACCAGGCCCGCCGGCATCACTTTGGCCAGGGGCGGCACCTCGACGTTGCCGTGCTCATTGGTGGGGATGCTGCCGTCCGCCGCCGCCACGGGCACCCACTCCCGCGTCTGCCAGATGCCGTACAGGAGCGTGGTGGGGGCGGAGGGGTCGCTGGACCGGACGCTGGCGCCGCCGCCGTCGAGCTGCACGCAGGGGAGGCGTCAGTGGATGGAAGAAAGGAGGCTGGGGCTGACAAGCCGCATCCAGATTGAGCCAGCCGCCGCCATACCGCCTCACGCAGCGCAGCGTGCCCGCTCACCTCCTCCTCCTCCTCCTCCTCCTCCTCCCCCTCCGGCCCCCCGTCCAGCGTCAGCGGCGACCCCGCCCCCGCCCTCTTCCTGCCCTTGACCCGCTTGTAGGGCCGCTCCAACTCCCCCGGCACCACCTCCCGCCCGTAGTCGGTGCGCCACTTGGCGGCCGTGTGCAGGTCAGCCAGGTCGCAGCGGCGGAAGTAGGGCTCGCCCCTGCGCCGCGGGCCGGGGCAGAGGCAGGGCCAGCAGTGGCGGGTGGCGGGTGGTGGGGGACTAGCTGCATGCGTCAGGCCGGTGCGGGGGCCTGCGGCCGCCTGCGGAGGGTGGCGTTGTCCTCCTGGCGCTGGCTTAGCTGCAGCGGTCACTTGTGGCCCCCTCCCCCTGCTCCACCCCCTCCACCAGCTGCCACCACCCCGCTCCCACCACCACTCCTCCACCTGTGCCGCCGCAGCCTGCTGTCCACAGGCAGCCCCCCCACCTGTGCATGCCCTGCTTCCCGGCCCCCGGCTTCACGGCGCAGAAGCGCGGGATGTGGCGCTCCAGCACAAACGCCGAGTGGGCGCGGAAGCCCTCCATGGTGCTGGGCAGGCTGAGGCGGGCCTGCGGGTGGAGAGCAGCTCAGCGGCAGCTCAGCGGCAGCGCAGCGGCGTGTGGCGGGGGCCGGGCGAGCGCATGGCTGTGGCTCAGGCACAGCAGCCAGACAGGCAGACAGGCAGACAGCGCGCTCAGCCCACCTGCGCCGCTCGCTCCTCCAGCTCCGCATCCTCGCGCTCCGCCGCCAGCCGCGCCGCGCTCTGCCCCGCCGCCTCTGCCGCCGCCTGCCGTCGCCTGGCCGCGGCGGCAGCCCGGGGCCCCAGCCCCTTGCCGCTGTCTGGGCTGCCATCCCCGCCGGTGGCAGCACCCGCCGCCAGGCTGGCAGCGGCCTCCAGCCTGCGCAGCGGCGCCAGCGTCTGCTGCCACCACTCCTCGTCCCGCAGCTTCTCGGCAGCCAGCCAGTCGGTCGCATACCTGCAGTACCGGCCAGGCGGTCCCGCATCAGTGCGACTAGGAGCCTTCAGCTGTGCCCGGCCAAGACCCAGAACTTCCCATGCCCCTGCCGTTCGGCGCCGGCGGCAGTGGCGGCGGTGTTCAGCAACTCACGGCAGATAGGCCAAGGCTGCTGCTGAGCTGCTGTCAGGCGCTGCAGTTGAAGCCTCGTGGTTGGGCGTCCCTCTGCTGGCGTGGCTGTGGCAGCCGCCATGGATGCACGGCACGGGGGGCAGCAGCCAGCAGCTTGGCGGGCAGGGCTGTGGTGGCCATGCCGTGCCCTGATCGAAATCGGCGCAGCGAGCGTGGCAGGAGCATGCAGCTGAGGGGCAGATGAAGCTGGAACTCGCTGCTGCTGGTGAGTGATGCTGCCCCTTCCGCCGCAGGCTGATGGCGATGCTGTTGCCAGCGCAGAGCAGAGGGAGCAGCCCTCGTGTGCTGTTGCTCTTGCTATCCCTTCCACCGGGCGGGTTCTTGCATGGTTGCCATGTGCATGACATTAGACGAGGAGGTGGGGCTGCTGGATCCGGTCGTGGCTGCAGAGGAGCAGCGCCACTGGCGAAGCGGCGCGCCGGGGGGCAGCCGTGAAAATGCCAGGCGTATGGTGGCTCCACAGGCAAAACAGCCAGCAGACCCAGCTCAACATCACCCCCCGCCCCCCCCCCTGGTCCACCAACAAAGTGCCAGCCCTGTGGCCGAGGCGTGTCGGCCCGCTTGCGGTACTGGCTGGCCTGGCGTGCCCTAGCATTGCAGCGCATGCGCATTTGATTAGTCGCATCTGATTTAAGTGGTCCAACCCTTTTACCAATTTCGTTTGGGATTGTCGTGAACTCACGACAGAAAATTTGGGGATGGGCGGAAGTAGCTCATTTAGGGTGGGGTGGGTATTTAAGGGGGGGGGAGATCAAAGAATATGGGAGGGTGGTGGGCCAGCTCACGCAGATTACACATCCCCCTGCACCCTGCGCACCTGGCTTGCACTTCCTGCTGCCCTCGCCTTCAGCCCGCGACCGCAGTACGGCAGCAGCAACGCTGCTGACAGCCATGCCCTGCGGGCCGCAAGTGGCAGCCTGCCGCCGTCGGCGCTGTGGCGGCCGCGCCATGTGCGCTGCTGCTCGCCCTGGTCATGATCAAGACCCTCCCCATCATACTGTTCCCTGGATGACTTCCCCAGCTCCTGGGAATCAGGTCGTCGTCCTGGCGCTGCGCAGCTGCCCCTGCGGGCAGGGCAGCTTGGCAGCAGCAGCGGCCACTGCCGCCCTTTGGGTGACTGCCGCGGGGCGCAGCGGCGGCCTTATATTCCATCCTGTGGAGCCGTTTAGAGCGTGCTGGGCCGCCCAGAGCGGTAGCCAAAGCCCCCGATTCGGGGGCACCGGACGCGGGGCTCCAAGTCGCTGCTGCGGGCCTGCGGCCGGCCTGAAATGGCTTAATGACACGTGCATTGGTGGATTCTATCGAACAATGGATGAAAGAGGCGCTGCAGGGCGGGCGGTTGGGGCGGGAGGGGCCCATGCGGACATGCGGCAGGCGAACACGCCTATCTCGTTGTATTCGCCCCCACCCGCCGCGGAAACCGCGCCTGCAGCAGTATAATGACATGCAGCGGCAGCAGAGAGGCATGCGGAGGCTGACGGACGGCGGGAGGGTAGATCGCGCGGCATGTACGACCGCTTGGGTGCCCTCCAGCCCGAAATCGCGCGTTCCGGCACCCGGCAGGCGCGGCAAGCGGGGTACCCGAGAGAAACAGGTCCCGACCGCCCCCATGATGCATCTGTTGCCCGCTGATGTGGCACCTCCCCCGATTCGTCTGGCTCATCAGGCACGCTCTCTCCCGCGATCCCTCCCTTTCCTTCGCCTTTCAAAGTCTCTAAGGCTTCTATTTCTCCCCTCCCGCACCCCGCAGCTGCCGCAAATTTAAAATTATGAACCAACCTGTCATCCTTTATGCCTTAGAACGGCGCCAAAACGGCGCCAAGAATGTGTTTCTCACTAAGTCAGATGTAGAGGGCATCATCCGGATCAAGCAGGGCGACCAGCAGGCGCCCTCAGGCCGGCGGCGGCGGGGTGCGGGAGGGGGGGCGGCAGTGCAGGGCGGCACCAAGAACTACAGCAAGAAGGTGCTGCAGTTCTTCCAGGTGCTGAAGGGCGCTGGCGGTCAGGACATCCTGTGCCGCTGCGTCAAGCGCAGCGGAGAGTGGCGGTGGTGCCCCGTGGTGCCGCTCGAGGAGCTGCCCCGAGTGATCAAGGAGCACCACGAGCGGGCGACTGGCTTCAGCGGTGTGGAGAAGCTGTACACACATGTGAGTGATACAAGGGGTGCAATGCTGCCGCCAGACCAACTGGAGAGTGCTCTGCATCAGGCAGCAACCGGATGCATCGCAGCAAGCACGGGGGGTGCGGCACGGCCAAGGTGGCGCTGCCCTCCTCTCCATCTATCCCTCCTTCCCTCCCTCACGCCGCGCACT